CAAGAGGTCCCCAAGATGGCCCAATAAACCCCCAAGAGGCCCCCAACATGGCCCAACAAGCCCCCAAGAGGCCCCCAAGACAGGCCAAGAGGGACCCGAGTCTGCGCACGAGAGCCCCACGACGGCCCAAGACGGCCCAAGAGCGACCAAAACGCCCCAAAAGAGCCCCAGGACCTCCAGGAGCGCCTGAAGAGGCGAAAATCATAGATTTCACGTTGGTTGTCGATCGCGCACCGCAGATTGCTGGCATTGCGCGCCAGAGACAGAAGCGCGCGTCGGCAGACTTCGACTCACGCAGCTCCGTGGGGTCCACACAGGTGTGTATATATATATATATATATATGCACATCTGTATATGCATACAAGCCTATACGACCACCCTTCCTGTGATAGGGAGGCTGGGGGGGGTGGGGGGAAGAACCAACTGCTGGCTGGCAAATGCGATGGGTGTGATGATGACGATGCTGGCGACGCGCCCCTGGGCTAGCGACGACGCGTGATGACGATGTCGCGCTGCGATCTCACCCCCCAATCTCCGATTGATATATGATATATATATATATATATATATATATATATATATATGTATACATATATATATGTACAGCAACAGATATGATCAAGAAAATCACCATTGAAGAAACCTGGGCCAGCTTTCTGGAAGTTTCTTAAGCCAAACCTGGGCCAAGAGTTCGTCCTAAGGCTGGAGGGGCGAACGTGCTCAAGAAACTGGGCCAGCTCTCCGGCGAGTTGGTCGAGAAACGCCGGCCCAGCTTTTCGGGAGGAGGTTTCTTAACCAGATGCTCGGCTGCGCGACCCTGGGCTAATTAGCGACGACGCGCGATGACGATGTCAGGCTGCACTCTCATCTCCCCATTTCCGATTGATACGTACTATATTTGTACCCCGTGCTAGCGACGACGCGCGATGACGATGTTAGGCTGCATTCTCACCCCCCAACCTCCGATTGATACATATTGTATTTGTATATAAATGTGTGTTTCGGGGATGGACAGACCCCCCTTTAGTTAAACGTGGTTTAGTGAAAACGACCTGAAGCCCAAACCTGGCGGGCGCAAGCCTGGAAAATGACGGCCACGGCGCCCTCTCGAGAACCGAAAACGGACAATTCACTAATCGACGTGCCACTGTTGGGGGGTCCTCCTCCTCCTCCTCCCTCCTCCTCCTCCTCCTCCTCCTCCTCCTCCTCCTCCTCCTCTGGGGCCACACGCCGCCCTGGCGACTTTGGATGATGATGAGAGGAGGAGGAGGAGGAGGAGGAGGAGGAGGAGGAGGAGGAGGAGGAGGGGGAGAGGAGGAGGAGGAGGAGGAGGAGGAGGAGGAGGAGGAGGAGGAGAAGGAGGAGGAGGAGGAGGAGGAGGAGGCGGAGGAGGAGGAGGAGGAGAGGAGGAGGAGGAGGAGGAGGAGGAGGGAGGAGGAGGAGGAGGAGGAGGAGGGGGAGGGGGAGGGGGAGGAGGAGGGGGAAGAGGAGGAGGAGGGGGAAGAGGAGGAGGAGGAGGAGGAGGAGGGCGAGGGGGTCTCGGCCTGCAGCAGCCCCCGACGCCTGCCGGCCGGCCCGCCGCCGCCCTGCTCCCCGCCGGCAGCCTGCACGCCCGGCCTGCCCTTCGGCCCGCCGCCCGCAGGGCGGAGCCCTCTCGGGCACGGCCCCCGGGCACCGCCGGCGGCACGCGGGAGGTCCCTTTTGCTCTTGGGTCTTCCTCGTCCTCTTTTTGGTCCTTTTTGTTCTTGGGTCCTCCTCCTCCTCCTCTTCCTCCTCTTCCTCCTCCTCCTCCTCCTCCTCCTCCTCCTCCCAAGGTCCTTTTTGTTCTTGGGTCCTTTTTGGTGAAACATTTGTATTCTGTGCTGGTCGTAAGAATTCTCCATCAGAGGGGCCCTCTGCAGGACTCGTCAGAGATACACTTCTCGCCGTCGGCGGCGAGGCGGCGAACTCCGCTCCGGCGAGCAGCCGGGTAGGGACACGACCTGTCGAATGGGCTGGCGTGCAGAGAGGGAAGGGGAACGGCCGGGAGGAAGGAGGGACGCTCAGACGCCGAAGAATTCGATGATGAGCAGCTGGCGAGCAGCAGCAGCCAGGCGCGCAGGACCAGAGCGCGGTGGGCGGCCGTGGCGAACCACGGTGGCAAGAGTGGCAGGGAAGACTCGTCAAACATACGCTGACGGCTTCCGTTTTCGGCGCTTGCGCGGTCGGCGCTAACTTCGAAGCGGGCATGGCGTGGTCGGCCCACACGCAGGGTTATCCGAAATCCGGCAGCGCCCTCACAGCTCTGAAGAACGCGTTTGCTGACAAACGCCCGAATGATCGGGCGCTTCGATTGTAAACGGCCTGTCTATTTATCTTTGACGAGGCTTGTAGGCAAGAAGGACCTTTGGCGCGCGGCTTGAGGGGGGCCATGCCCAAGCGCGCAAATCGATGCTGCCGCCTCGTATGCAGCGATCGGGGGCCGCCAGTGTGCCCGCACAAGAGGTTACTCCAGCGAAGGGTCACTTTTTACTTGTAGTCGATCCAAGGGCAGGCAAGCATGGCCGTGTGCTCCATCGCGTCCTTAGAGGCCTCCCGACTTGGGTCCGAGCAGATGGGGTCGGAGGATCGCGCCGCATCGCCGATGCAGCGCAGAAGCATCGACGATGCATCAGCGACGTCGGCGATGCAACGGCGACGTCGGCGTGTAGAGAATCAGGCTCCACAGGCGATGCGGCGCGATTCTCCGACTCCCTCTGCTCGAAACCCATCTGCGACGCCCAGAGTCGTCCTTGGGTGGACGCAGCGAGCGCATCAGCCCAGCCAGAGTCCGCCGTCGGAGGCGCCTGTCCTGGGGCGGCTCGAGGATCTACACCACGACGTGCCACCACGGGGAGATACAGTATTCGGCCTGACCCAAGGAACGATGAGTAAGGAACGGAGCCCCTTTTCTTCCAGGAAGGTCTAGGAAGTCTGAAGGAACACCAGGGGGGCTCGCCGCCAAAAAAGGTAGCGGGACGCATGCAAATCAAAGGAACGGCCGAGCCCCTGTTGAAAAGCAAGTGTTCCTTATTCAAGCCAGACCCTGTAATTGCTCCCCGCCCTGGAACAGGCGCCGCCGATGGTGGAAGAGAAACAGCACGGCAGGTCCGTGAGGCGTCGGCGCGCGCGCGAAGGTTTTTCACACCGCGTCGATCGTTCAACCTCGAACCGAGCGCGGCCCCGATCGTCCAAGGTTGCATTCCGTCGGTTCCTGTGGCGTTGCCGTGTCCCTCGGTGCTTCCGCGTCCCTCTCTCGTGCGGGATTCAACCTGGAACGCCTTCGCCGGCCTCGCCCGGCGCGCCGTCGCCACATGAGCCTACCGTGCCCTACGTTGCTTCGTCGGCCAAAACTCCTGCCCCCGTTCTGCTCCTCCCACTCCCGACCCCCAGGGCAAGTCAGATGCGGGCCATTCGGGGAGCGCGCAGAAGCACCGCGAGTGCTCTCGGGCCTGTACGGAGGAGGGAGCAAGCGAGAGCCCATGCTGCAACAAGAACCTTTTGAAGAGATCCGCTCACTCCGTGAACACAGCCTTGTATTGGGTCCGCTAACAGCGAGAACGTTGCGAAGAGGCTGGAGGGGTGGTGCCAAGGGCGAGCGCAGAGGGAGAGGAGCAACAACTGCCAGGGCCGCGCGGGCAGGGAAGAAGGCCCTCGCAGACATTCGTCTGGCCCGTCCCGTGCGCAAAAAGATGCTCGCTGAGCGAGCGGCGCTACGAAGACCAGGGCAAGGGAAACAGTGGCGGCATCTACTGGAAAATCGACCGGCGGGGCCTCCAGGGGGAAGACGACCATCGAGGCACTGTCGCTGGGAATGTCCCGAACAGGGGCCCTGCCGAACCCGTGGCGGGGGGGGGAGGTGCCACGAGCGACTAGAGTTAGGTCGGGCGTGTCCCCCTACAAATGGATTTTGGCGGAAAAATAGGAAATACTCGCAAAAATACACCCAAATAGTTAAAACATGCTCAAAACATCGTCCCCTGATTACTTTTGGACTATTTTTGATATTCCTCCTGTAGAGGGACACGCCGGACTTCAGACTAAAGGCGCAGTCCCGAGCTGCACGTTTTCTCCCACGGGGCGGCAGTGCCCTGGGCCAGAAGGTGGCCATGTTCACAAGAGGCCTTCAGAGAACGGCAAGACTTACCTACAGGGGGATTTGAGGCGAAAAATTAAAAATACCCCACCAATGCCCCAAACATATTCAGCAATACTCACAAAATAATCCCCAAACTATTTTCTGACCATTTTGGAATATTCCTCCTATAGAAGGACAAGCCCGACTTCAGGCAAGACTGGGCGGGGATGCTCGGACGCCCGCGACTGCTGGGTCACCCCGAGTCCCGCGTCGCGCCCCGCGGTAGCCTCCGCACCCCCGCGAGGCCACCTTGGAGCCCAGACCCCCTCGGGCAACGAAACAATCACGACGGGAGGTGTCTTGCTGTTTTCGGCCCCTGGGAGCCCTTACCGGTCCTCGGGACCGCCAAGAACCGACTCGGGATGAAACACCGGTCCCGGGGAAGGGGTCGAGCGAGACCTCTGGGGGTCGACGCAATGAGAAAATCATGACGTCGGGGGTCTGGGAGTGTGGGACAGCTCTCCGGCCCAGGCCGCGATGCGCGGAGCGAGGCGGATCGTCCCGCTCCCGCGGGTGACCTGCAGCCAAGAAGGCGAGGAAAAATCGAATGGCTTTAGCCCGAGCGTTCTCTTAGGGCGGAGGGCTCCGGGTGAAATCCATGTGGGCTTTTGTACCTCGAAGATCAATCCGTCATGTGATTTGCCGCTTGCAGATTCAAGCCTCGGGCATCCATCGAAACGGCATTTCAGATTTCACCCTTTGCCCTCTGCCCACAGAAAATGCTCCGTCAGGGACCTGGGCCAGCCTGCCTGCAAAGCCTTGGCGCGTCGCTGGGCCAGCCCCGCGCGCTCGGCTGCAGGGAGCCAAGAGGCCGAACAGGGCCTACGAGAGAGCTGCTGGAGGAAAGCTGGGCCGGCCGAGCCAGAAAGGTCCCTACTGATTGGTGCCACTCCAGGAGGCAAAAACGCTCCGAGGAACGCTCGGCGTCGGATCGGGAGATCGGAGCCGATCGACATGTGCGTCGGATCGGGCTGCATGTGCACGGAATCGTCGAATCCGATCGGTTGCGCCAGGATGAGCAACAACACCACGCCAGCACCGGGACGCGCCGGATCGGTCGAACCGGATCGATCGGAGCGAAATGTAGCAGGGTACCTTTCGCAGAGAAACCTTAGTAGGGAATCCTTCGAAGGTTCCTTGTGAGGATTGCTGACTAGGGAACTGGTAGTGGAAAATCCTTCGAAGGATCCATAACAGGGAATCCTTGTTATGAAACCTTTGATGGCAAGTTCTTAGTAAAGAGTACTTGGAAGGCAACCCTTTATCAACGAATCCTTAGTCGTGAGCCCATAGCAAGGAATCCTTAGGAAGAAACCCTTTTCGTAAGGATTTCTCACTAGGAAATCGATATTAAGGAATTCCCAGTAACTAATCCTTGACATGGAGCGGATCCTTACTAAGGGATCCTGATGAAGGGATCCTTGACGGGGCCTCAGGAATAGGACATCTTTTGAAAGGAATCGTTACCATTTAATCCTGAGCAGGAGATCCTCCCTGAGGAAACCTCAGCAAGGGGGTAAGAAATCCTGCGCAGGGAATCCCTACTCGTGAGCCCTTACTGCGGAATCCTTACGAAGGGATCCTCAATAAGGAAACCTTCGTCAGGAGTTCTTGGTGGGCAGTCCTCAGAAAAGGAACTCTTGAGGCATAATCCCGATAAAAAGACCCTACATCAATAATGATTCGTAGGGAACCCTCGGAAAATGGGGATTCTCAGCAGAACAAATTGGGGCCTTCGGGTTGGGTTGGGGTGTGACTTGGTGGGGGGGGGGGCCCATCATCCCCCCGATCCAACAGGGCGAGTCTGCGCAGATCTGCGAGTTTGGCCCCTCAGCTTCGTGCGCCCCCCCCCCCCCCCCTTTCCCTAACGCCCGCAACGCGCCGGCAGCGGCGCCTCCGTCGCCGCCGAGCCGAACGAGGCCGCGAGGGCCTCCGAATGTCTACGCTCTGATGCCGGATTTCTGGCTGTGGGTTCCCGCTGCTTCCTCGGGGGCGTGCAGGGGGGGGGGGGCGTCCAAGAGGGGGGGGCGCGCAACTCATGGGCCGAGGCGTGCGCGCGGCGGGGGGGGAGGCAGGGGACGTGCAGGGCAGTGTTTAATGCATCGGATTTTTAGACATAGGATGTTTGATGCATGATTAATGTATGCATAGATTTATGCATGAACTCGTCGTTGCTTTTAGTACTAATTCCTTGCATTTTTAACACATGATCCGCACGCGGAGCATGTATAAAAACGGCACTGCATTGAAATGAGAAGGAGGAAACATGAGATCTGGGGAGATATCATGGCCCCCGCCATGATATCCGCCCCCCCCCCTAGTCATCACCCCCTCCTCGGACGCTCCCGAGAAGGCGTACGTTCGGGAAGCTTCTCTGCTGCTCGATTCCACGCTGCAATCGCTGGGTGGCCTCTTCGGCCCTCGGCCCCGCCAGGCTGGGGCGGGGTCGACCGCTCAGCGCGCGGGGTGCGTACGCGCGTGGCTCGCCTGGGGCGGGCCCCTCAGCGCTGGCCGGCGAGTCAGGTTATCCTGGGGCATCTCAGGCAGGGAGGCAGGGAGCAGGACCCTCCTCCTCCTTCTTGTCCTCCTCCGCCTCCTCCTCCTCCTCCTCCTCCTCCTCCTCCGCCTCCTCCTCCCCCTCCCCCCTCCTACTCGTCGTCGTCTTCCTCCTCATCCTCCGCCGTCTCCTCCCCCCCGTCGGCTCGACACTACCAAGTGAGAGACCGCCTCGGCTTGCTGGCTCTGGCAGCGGCACAAGGAACCCAAGAAGAATAGGCAAGACGGCGGCGGAAGAGAAGGGAGTCAGAGAGGCAGCCGATGAGGGAGGGGGGGTAGGAGGACCCCTGGCTCGCCCGACTCCGAGCAGGAGGAGGAGGAGGAGGAGGAAGAGGAGGAGGGAGGAGGAGGCGGAGGAGGGGGAGGAGGGGGAGGAGGAGGGGGAGGAGGAGGGGGAGGGGGAGGGGGAGGAGGAGGAGGAGGAGGAAGAGGAGGAGGACAGCGGGCCATGTGACAAGTGATCTGAATAGAGTCCTGCCCCAGGTGCCAGCGCGCCAGGGAACGGAGATCGACCAGGCATCCTGCCATGTGGCCCTCCAGCACGAGCTCTAAAAGTCTGAGCGTCGCCACGTCCACAGACCAGCTGCAGTGCACGCCGCTGGGGCAGGACGCGTATGAGGAAACCTCCAGAGCTGACCAGATGGTCGGAGTGGCCGACCAACCAAAGTAAGGTTGCTGATCTCCGATCTCCGCGACGAGACACCCAGTGCCTGTTCGGACTCCTTGTAGCACAGCACGAAGGATTGGCCAGCCCCCAGTGCGCCGACGTCCCCCCACGCGTGTGTATATAATGTATGTGAATGTGTGTGAATGTGTGTGTGAATGCGTCTGAATGTGTGTGTGTGTGTGTGTTAGTGTGTGCGCGTGCGTGCGTGCGTGCGTGCGTGCGCGTGCGTGCTTGCGTGCGTGCGTGTGCCTTCGGCCACGTTGCTGGCTTTCGCCTGGAATTGGACCATCCGAGAATGCGCTGATATCAGCTCGTGACGGTTTCCTTGCCACCAGGTCTGCCCCCCCCCCCCCAGTCTCAGTGACTACATCGCCCCGTCTGTCGAGGCTTGGCATACGCACCGCCCATGTTACGCACCGCCCATGTTGGACTCCACTGGACCGCCACCGACTGTGTCTGAGCCAGCCTCACCCAAGCCTGAACAACGGGACGGCTTCTTGTGAAGTGCCAGCCTCGTGAACTCGAATGCGCACTGCGAACATAATGCGGCTGAGAACGAGCACGACGTCCGTGCGTCGCACCAAAATTACTTCACTGCTCCAGTGGAAGGCCATGGAAGTTGAACCCGGCATCATAATGATTGCCGGAGGCTTGTAGAGGCTTGTAACCACGACGCTTCTGCGAAGCCCAATAGAGAAGAGAAACGGCGAACTATACCCCCTATGGGGACCCCTCTCATCTCCCGCGCGCACTGCCTGAGCAATGAGGGAAGACCATGTGCAACCCAAGAACTGGAGAATGTCTTCGACGCGCCACCAAGAAAACTGGAATCCGACGACCTCCGCTTGCCGGGGGGGCGTGTGAGACAGCTAGCCGTCCCCCTTCCCCCTGTCCCCATCCCCTTGGGTCCCAAATGCCGTTAGACTTGGGGGGGGGGGGGGCGAGGGGCGGGAACTCGTCAGGGCTCCTCCCGGGCCGTCGGAGCCTCCGAATCCACCTTTCGCCGCCTCCGGGAATGTATGCCCGAGGTGCCCTCCCATGTGGCTCGAGAAAAGCTGCCCCAGGGCGCCAGAGAGCCCTCCAGAACAGCCACGACGGCCTCGGGACAGCCCGAGAGGCCCCGAAGACGTCCAAGGAGGGCTCCAGAACAGCCTCGCGGGGCAAGACATTGTGATGTGCCATCTGTTGTTCGAAAGAGGTTCGCGCTCTCGCCATGTCGGGGCTCTGGACTCCCGCGGCACTGCGAGAGGCCACCCAGACTGGCCCAAGGCGACCGAGGAGGCAGCCGCGAGGGTCTGGGGAGGACTGTGAGCGAGGCCCCCCCGAGGCGGCAAACAAAACCCTGAACGTGGACAAGGTATACTTAGGTCGGGCCTGTCCCCCCACAGGCCGATCTTCGAGGAACACTGTTCCATAAATGTCAAAGCATACTCAATATAGTCAAGGCATGTTCTATAAAAAAGAGGCCAAGATAGTCAAAACTTATTCAATACATGTCATAGAACATTTGAACAATAGTCCCAAGACTATTTTTTACCATTTTTGAATACTCCTCCTGTAGAGGGACAGGTCCGACTTAAAGGTATGCCCGAACTGGGGAGCTCGTAGGGGCCCCGGGAGCCCTCCCCACACGACGGCCCCCAAGACGCCCAACATGCCGCCAAGAAGCCACCGAGAGGCCCCCACGGCGGCCTCAGAGAGCCCAAACAGCGCACTCAGGAGTCCCGAAAAGGCTCCAAAGAGGGCACCTCCAGGGCCTCCAAGATGCCCCCAAGAAGCCCCGCAGCAGACGCGGATGAAAAGAAGGAAAAACCAACAAATGCGAAATCGAAAGCCGCACATCTCCTCTTCTGGTGGTAAGCCTCTTGAGTAACCTCGGCGGCCGATCTGGTTGTGCACAATTGTGTCCCTTGCCAACGTCAACGGTCGACGTACCAGACTTGGAAGTTTGTCCCGATGCGAATTCGACAAGACAGGCAGCACACTCGCCAGGCAACCGAAATCTAATGCTTGACGCACGTCTGCAGTGACCCCTGAGATGCGACTGTTCAGGCAGCGTGATGCTGAAGACGCCTGGATGACTGCGGTCATATCATCTAGCGCCGTGCGAAGCTCTGGAACAATGGGTATCTCGCTGGTGCCGCTGGCGCCCCGTCGTGGCTTTACTCCCGACGAGAGGGGGTCTGGGTCCCCGCGCGTCCTCCCCTGAGTTCCGACGCTGTGAAACAAATGCAACATCGCAAAAGAATCACGACCGCAGCCCCATGCAGACCCCATCTTTCTGCACCATTTCTCGAGCCGGACCGATCTGTGAGGGTCCCCGGGCCCGAGCCTGGGCGAACACGCCCGCTGTTGAAAGATGCAACGCCAGGATGACAGGCTCCTCTGGGGCCTTCCCCCCCAAGCACCAGCCAACTTTTCGCTCAGAGTCGTGTCTCAACGGTTCCAGGGCCCATGGTGGGGAGCCCCGTGGAAGACCCCGGGCCCCTGGACTTCGCCCCGGACGGCCCCAGGGCTCCCGTGGAGGGCCCCGTGGAGGGCCCCATCGGAGCTCGACCGCAACAAAAAACTTCCAGGACCTGTTTCCCTTAGGACCCACTCCTCCATGGCGACGCCCTGAGATCCTGGCGTCTTGCTTTGTCCGAGCCGGGCGCCTTCGCCGTTCTTCTGGGCCCCGGGGACCCTCGGTGGCACGAGAAACGACGCAGAGAAATGGGGGCCTGGGGCCCCGGGCGCGATTCTTCACGATGCTGCCATGACTCCGCTGACTGCGTCGGCTCTCAGGGTGGGCCGCCCCGCTCGTCCGCCCCACACCCCTCGAGCCCAAGCGGGACGCAGGGGAGGGCCAGGAGGACGACGAGGACGAGGAGGCCGATCTGCAGATGCTCCCCCCTCCTGACCTCCACTGAGAGGGCCCTCCTGCTGTGCATCCGCCGGCCGCACCCTGCCGCGCCCTGCTGGCGCGGACCCCTGCCGCGCCCCGCCTCCTGCAGCGTGCGGCCGCCCCGCCTGCCGGAGGGGCACCGGGCGCATCGCTGCCACGTCGTGCAGCGCATGACTCCGAAGGCATCGTCGCACGATTCGCAGTAGTAGACAGAGGCCTCCCCAATCGCGCTGCATCGCAGATGCATCGGCGATGCATCGGCAACGTCGGCGATGCATCGGCGACGTCGACGAGGAGAACATCGGGCGGCACGTCGAGCCGCATCGCCGATGCAGCAGCGATGCGAAGCGATCCTCCGACGCCACCCTCTCGAGCCCCATCTGGGAGGCCCGGGTGTAGGCGGGCGTACGTGCAAGCACGTGTTTGATTGCGCGCTCCGCAGCCGCCTAGAGGTCGATCCTAGAAGTCCTCTGACACGTTCCAGAGCCAGGCGGAATAACGAAGCTGAGCAATCACATCTTGAAAGCGCTTTGGATCCATCGTGGTTCCCCAGCCTGGGGGTTCCTGCCGCCCCTCCAGGCCTCTTCGCCCAGATCCTCACCCTCCAGCCCTCACGCCTCATCCTCACTCATCCCCGTGAACAAATCACGAGGGGAGGTTCTTGAACATCTTCGGCATCCAGAGGGCCATGCCAGGCCCTGGGGTGGTCAACAAGCGATTCTGGACGAAAAGCTGGTCCTGGGGAAGGGTTCAGGACTCAGGGGGCCCCGCATTGAAAAATTCCGGACGTCGTACCCCTGGGAACTTCACTCATCACACCTCGCGCCTCCGCCTCTTCCTATATGACCTCCCTTACCCCTGTGCTGGATGGAGCACGCCCCCTCCTCCCTCATCCCTGTTCCTCATCACTCCCCCCCCCTTCCCCGCCCATTCGGGGGGACGTCAACCATGCATCTAAACCAAACCCGTCAGGCTCATCCTGGGCCCAAGGTCACTGTCATGGAGACTATCCTTGCATACGTGTAAAATATCATACATGTGCGAATACATATGTTAGCCAGCGTGGAACCCATGCAATATGCTTCTAGCAATATGGTGGAGCACTAGATGCGGTGTACCCTCATGCGATATTGAGCAATCTATGTTGTGTAATATATATATATATATATATATATACAAACACATATATACACACAAACACATATATGTATGTGTATATTCAGAAATAGAAATATCAATGCATACTTATATATACATATATATATTGTGCAAACGATGTTCACACACGAGTTGACTGACTCCATGTTTGCAACCATCCCACCCACCCCTCCGCAACCTGGTTTGCAAAACCCATGCGGCGGCGATTGCAGTGAGTGCTTGGCGTTGGCTGGTGCACCTCTGCAGCCGCGCTAACCCGTGCATTCTCGCGCGCACGGCGGCCAGCTAGCTTGGCGCGACCGACGCGGCCGCGGTGGCGCTGACCGCTGGGCACTTCCCAACGGGCACTACATTGCGGGTCGGTGACTTGGGCGGGCGCGGTATTTAGCGACGCCGACAACGGTAGACACGATTCTGAGAGTAGCGATGATGGTGGCGATGGTAGCGATGACGACGGCAAGGCCAATGCCCGCGCCGACGCTGATCAATCCCGCCGGTAACGGTGACGATGTCATCGCGCCGGCGATGAAACAGATTGGAAGAGTTCGACATGCGCGCGCGACCGGCGCGCGCGAGTGGCCTACATGGAATTATTTGACATGGATCGTGCCCCCGCCCCCCTCCCTCCCAGCACGCGCGAAAGGGGATTCGAAACAGTTGATCATGCGGCACGAAAGGCTTGTTGGGCAGGGCTTGAAAGACATGTTGAAAACCCGATGGGTTCCTACGAATCCGCAAATCCGCGAGCGCAAGGCTTTTTTGTTGGAGACCGAAATTGCAGAACCATGTTTTTTTAGATGTGTTCGGGGGACTCGTTTTGAACATTATTGCGGAACCTACGGTTTTTTTTTTTGAAGGTTTCCGGCATGCGCGCGCGACGACTCGCGCGTGCGCAAGTCGTCCTCTTCTCCAAAGGATTCATGCGACAGCACGCGCGAGAGGGCATTCAAGCGATTTCGACATGCGCGCGCGAAGTGCCCGCTTGGTCGCATGCTATAAAACAGCATCGATTTTTCAAGAATTTGCAAGAGCGCGGGCGCAGGTTATTGTGTGAAAGCCCTTGTTGCGAAACCATGTATTTTATACGTTGTCGGGACACTCGCTTCGGAATTTCTTACGGCACCGCAAATTGTTTGGAAGATTGCGGCATGCACGTGCGCACTTCGTCATGTCTTTTCGAAAGCAGTCTTGGGAACTCTTGAAATGTGACGAACTCGCACGCGCGCATAATTTCTGTTGCAAAGGATGAACGGGGGAAATCGATACCAGCCTGCCTGGGACGGTACGATTTCAAAATTAAGATGGAGGATGGGGCAGAATCGTATGGAAATTGTCATACGAAGAAGGTGGCCCGTTCACCCCGAGAGTGGGTCGATCCGAGTAATATTTTAGGAAGGAGAACCTATATTGTGTATTAGACGTGGTGCAATCTATGTGGGTGCCATACATGCGATGCACTAGATGAGATGCCATATATACGGTGCCATAAATGCGGTGCACCTATGCGGTGCCATCTATGCGATCGGATCATGGTGAGCTGCACACTCAACACGCCCACCGCGCGAAGCAAGAGCCAGCCCTGGCCCTCGTAGCCGACCATGGGTTGACCGGCCAGCTGCGCCCTGTTCGGAAGATGTCGAACCTGGTGAGTAAATTGTCCATGCGCTCCTAAGGCAGTCGGTTGAAATTCTTCAAGGCCGACGCTGCGTGCGCGCGCTACTCCTCCCCAAGCTGGCCCCGCCGTTCGGCCAGACCGTTCGGTCATGGGCGACACTGAAATTCCGGTTAAATGAACACCTTTGATGAGGACAACCGGCAGCCACTCATCCACGCTCTCGGGAACCATGACGAGACGTAGGCCGCATGGCGAAATTCGTTGAGGTCGGAGTTCGTCACTGACCAAACAAGTACCTTACGCGCCCAGCTGTGGAAGGGCGCGCGAGCTTGCTGCTCGGGCCCCCACGTGCGGCGGTGAGGCATGTTGCCGCTGCCGCCGCCACCCGCGACCGCGCAGGCGATGCAGCTGATGGCAGCGATCATGCCCGCTCCACTGGTCTTCTATCCAGAGTGGAGCCCCTCCCAGTGTCGAGGAGACGCGGCAGCCCTTGTACCGACCGACGGCGATGCTCAGGTAGTGATCCTGGAAGCCGTTGTGGATAACGATCCCTGGTATGCTCTTCCTCATGGGCGTATTGGGTCTTCCTTTCTGTCGTGCGTTAAATCTGCAGGCTGCGGTCGGGGCATCCCCCAGATAGTGGCGCTTCAGCTCGTCGCGCGTCGCATTGTCACTGTACTCTGCCAATTGGACGATAATCGAGAGAAGTACGCATAGTGATCCAGATTTGTCCTGAAGCAAGGCGCGCGTAAGTAACATTGAGAATCCTGTCCCAAAAAACCGACATCGAGTAGCCCCAGATTTGCGCGACAGTCCACATTTCCTGCTCTTTCCTGCATGCGCCCCCCCTGGCTCTAGCAACACAATTGCGTTTGGCTCGGGACGCTCTGCCACCGCCGATGATGTGAGCGTCGGGTCCAATGACTGCTTGACACAGCCGGCTACACCCACGAGCGAGCGTAATGGATCCGAAACGTTTTGATCCATGTTTCCCTCGGGCTGTCGCAAAACAGTTGCGCTTAGTTCGGGGTCCTGCACCGTCACAGCGGATGTGAGCATCGTTTCGTGCGACTGCTTCACATCAGCTGTCACCCCCATTGGCAGGGGCTGTGGCGACGAGGACGTTCCGAGATTGTCGAACATATTTCGAACCAGCTCGAGGCAGAAAAGGCGGGGGGGCCGTCATTGTTGGTCTTGTACTGGTTGTGGTAGCCTTTGTGTTCCTGCATCGGCGGTCGGTGGCGGCTGGGCCGGGTTGGCCCCGCTGGTCCCTGAAGACGGAGCGACTGCCTCCGCGAGGAGCATCATCAGCACAGCCGTAGAGCGGATTCTACAGCGGGCATTCGTCGATGACGATGTAGAGCGACTGCCAGGGGCAAGGCAGCGCGCCGCGCGGGCCATGGCGGCACTCGGTGGAGCGAGATGGTCCGCTACCAACTAGGAATGTAACGCGAAGGGTGCAAGGGGAAATTGTCTGTAAAGTGTTGTGGAGCACATGGGTCAACAAACACTTGTAAAGCGTTGTAGAGCAAAGGGTGGCCACCATTGGGCCAAACGCCCACGGGAGATCATCCCTTGCATCCTGACCGCCGTGCTACCCATGCTGCTACCGATCACAGTGCTACCGTTCGAATGGCCGAGCCAAGAGGGGGCACCAAGGACAGCACACACACACACACACACACACACACGCACACACACACACACACACACACTCCACGCGAACTCACCCTTCTTGTATCTTCCTCAAGCAACACGCTGCCAAAACCACGAAGTCCAGACCGCCGATCAACTCCGTGTGGCACAGGAGGGGGTGGAGGAGGAGGAGGAGGATGAGGAGAAGGAGGAGGAGAAGGAGAAAGTGGAACGGGCGCCCGCCTGCTGCGGGGCGACTGTCCCGTGGCTATGTCCCCCAACTCTCATCCATTGTGGATCGGCCGGGGGCGCGGGCTGCAAACTCGTGCTCGAGGAGGTCCTGCGGGACAAATGCCAATTGCGCCCAGCGCTCCGAATTTTGCGCCGTCGTCGCCGAGGCCAATGTTCTCTTTCCTGTCGCCGCCGTCGCCGTCGCCGTCGCCGTCGCCGTCGCCAGCATCGTCGTCGTCGTCGTCGTCGCCGTCGCCGTCGTCGTCGTCGTCGCCGCCCGCCTCTGCTTGCCGTCGCTCGGGCATTCCCCGTGCACGTTATCGGTTTCGTGCGTGTTTCCTGTTGCTCGATGATTCAGGATGCTCCTCGATGGTCCTCGCTGGAACACATGCACACGCCCGAGCGATGCCAAGTCTACGCGTTGTGACAACACTCCGCTCGGTGCCGCGGGACCCCCGAGGACACCCGAAGACCCCCACCCCTCCTAATGGCTCCGCTACGCCATCGGCCCGTGCGGCGGGGAAGGGGCGGGGTGCGGTGAGGGCACCCTCCAGAGCCCCCTGGCCCCATTCTTGGCGGCGCGCACAAAGGGGTTAGAGGGAGGGGGGAAGGCTTCTGAGGAGGCCGCTTCTTAGAAGGCGCTGGCCCTACATCTGTAGATGAAGGGCTCGCGACTTCGAAGAAGCAGCCTCCTTTTCTAAGAAGCCTCCCCCCCTCCTCCCACTCCGTTCTGCGCGTGGCCGACCAGAGCCGTCTGGAGCCATTCAGAGACTAAGACGAAGCCAGAACGAGGACAAAACTCGGACGAGGACACATCTCTGAGGTCTGGCGGCTCTGGAGGGCGTCGCGGCCCTTTCAGAGCGTTCCCGCACGCCCTGAGAGCGTTCTGGAACGCTCTGGAACGGATCCCTTCTCGTCCTAGCACCGTCCGAAAGAGACCCCACCAAGACCAGACGGTGGGCAGTCACCGAAAGCCGTCGGACACAATCGGAATCGGCCGATCGAGCGGCGCACTGCTCAAGGTCCCCTTGGATCGAGATGGCCGCCGAGGGGGGACGAGGGGCCTCTGCCCCCTCGCCTCCTCATGCCGTCCCCTTCCGGCGCTTTCCGCTCCTCGTCTGGGCATGCATCTCGCCATCGCTCGGACGTCCACGCCCCGTGCACCCTTCGAGTCCCCGCTTGTGGTTTGTCCGCAGCGCGATCCAAGAGGCTCGTCGATGGTCCTCACCGAGAATGAACGAGCACGTCCGAGCGATGCCAAGCCTCCTGAGCCCAAGGCGCTGCTGAAGCCCTGAGCCCAAAACTGCTGGCGTCCCACTTGGGCTCGGCGGAGCGTCGCTTTCGGGGGGAAGCTCGGAGGTCGTCGTCGTCGTCGTCGTCGTCGTCGTCGTCGTCGTCGTCGTCGTCGTCGTTGTAGGGGCCGTAATTGCTGCCTCGTCGTCGTCGTCGGTTTCGTCTTGTTATTGTTCGTCGTCGTCATCGTGTTCTTCGTCGTCGTCACCAGCGGCTCCCAGTGGAGTGCGTACCTGGGGCGAGGGGTTCGCTAGCCTCCATCCCTAACCAGACATGTCCAAGCCTGGCTATGTCAAGTGTGCGGCGTGCTCGTACAACTGGACGTGGAAGGGCAAAGACAGGTGCTTCAGCTGCGGCAAGTCGCTCGAGCTGGCAGTCACCCCATGGCGCAGCCAGCAACCGCGCGGGGCCTGGGACATGCGCTTGCACGCCGCGCTGCAGAGTGAGCAGGCAGCGGGCTGGCAGGACGGCTGGAAGCCGTGGAGCGCCTGGCCCAAGTCCAAGGGTGGCCGCAAGCGGCAGCCGCAGTCGCAACCCTCGTCCAAGCCGCCCGACGCCGAGCCGAATGACACTGACTCCCTCCTGGCCATGCTGGACAAATCTCTCTCGGAGGAGGGCCGCGCCGAGCTGGCACTCTTCAAGGACAAGATCGCGCCGCCCAAGCCAGCCCAGCAAGAGTCACTCGACGCGAAGTACCAGCGGCTCCTGGCAGCTGAACGTAAGGCAGCGGCAGCACTTACGAAGGCGGCTACCTCGGAGGGCAAGGCCAAGGACTGGGTCATCGAATGCGAGGCCCACACCCAGCACTGCGCGGAGGCCCTTGGTGACGCCCAGGCCGCGGTGCAGGAGACCCTCGACGCGATCAACGAGGCGCGCGGCACGCGGGCGCCCTCGGCATTCGCGTCGACGGCAGGTGGCCTCAACCTCAGCAAGCTCCTCCTCAGCGGGGAGGACCTCGCCTTCGAGGAGGGCGAGGCCTTCGACACCTCCGACCTCGAGCTCGACGCCGAGGACTCCAAGAAGTGGGCCGACCTCAAGCAGCAGTTCCTCGACGAGCTCAAGACGAAGGTCAAGGAGGTCTTCGGCTCAGGCGCCACGGCCATCCAGCAGCGCAAGCAGGAGCTGGAAGCCTTGCGCAGCAGGCTCCGCGCCAAGCGGCCTCGCACCGAGGCCGACGGCAATGGGGCTCAGGCCGCCGAGGCGGGCACGGGCAGCGCCGCGGCACCACCGGCCGCAGCAGCTGGCGGCGGTGATGGCGTTCGCCCTGGCCCTGATGCTGCACCTCCTACCGCCGCATCCGCCGCCGTTCCTGCCGCAGCCAGTGCAGCCAAGCGATCGGATGCAGCCACCAAGCTTGCTGAGGCCGCGCGGGCTCGCGCCCATGAGGAGCGAACCAAAGATAAGGAGGACCTTTAGCCAGCCCAGCTTTCGCACGATCTACGTGCGTAACATTACCGACTGGGGGCCAAAGTGCAAGAAGATCGCGAAGTCGCCGCCGTTCCAGGCGGACATCCTCGGTCTGTTGGAGACTCATGAGAGCGAGCGCACCAGTGACTTAGTGCTTGCAGAGTTTGACGCATCAGCTTGGAAGGCAGTTATCTCACCGTCGCGAGCCGACGGTACAGTGCAGAAGGCAGGTGGAGTGGTTCTGGGAGCTCGACGCCACCTGCAGTGTTCATCACTGGGCCACCTGGCCCGTTACCGCAATCAGACAAAGGGACAGCTGCGCCACAGGAAGCCAGAGCCGCACTTCATAGCAGGGCCCATAGACTTCTGGGACTTCCAGGCGCTCACCATCCAGATGCATCATGGCCAGCTCACGGTGCTCATCGTGTACCTCACCACCTCCATCGGGGTGGCTGGCCAGAACCTCATCAAGTTACAGAACCTGGGGGCCGTTATCAAGAGCCTCACGGGGGACTGGATCGCTATTGGCGACTGGAACCTGGTGCCTACGGAGCTGGAGGAGTCAGGATGGGTCAACTACGTCGACGGCCGCATCTGTAAGCCCTCCAATGTCTCCTTCACTCAGTTCACAGGTGGTCGCATGTTGGACTACGCTGTCATCGGAGGGCCAGGTCATCACGTGCCCGCCAAACTCTTTGCGGACACCATGGGAGACCACAAGAGCCACATGGGCCTTGTGGCGCAGTATACCTCACAGTCGGCGCCAGCATGGGCTCTGATCCTGCCGACTCCCTTCTCCTTCACGCACCCTCCAGCGGAGCAGAAGGCTGCGGACCCGAACAGCAAGCGCTCTCGGGCCAAGCGCGAGGCTGAGCAGCGCAGGCTCGAGCGTATGCAGGACAACCCCCTGGAGGCCCTCAACCCAGAGGTCACCGAGGCGGCTTCTCAGCAGCAGCCTGTGGATGGCCCACCCCTGCCCGCGCACATGTGCGGCCCGCTTCCGAGCGGAGGCTGCGCGGCGCCAGCCGACCTGCCTGCGCGGGCCCCCGATGGCCCTGCGATCTGGCGGTCGGCCGAGGCAGGGGCAGCCTCCAGTGCTGCGGTGGCGCATGACATGGACCACGATGAGCAGCCGTCGCACGACCGGTTGCTGGGTTTCCCGACGACGCCGCCGTGCCCGACGGTGGTCAGGCTCACGGCGACAGAGAAGGATGAGCTGTGGGCACAGGTCTGCCATCGCCAGGTCCAGTACGACGAGCCGCCCGACTACACTCGGGACTCCCAGGCGTACCAGTCCTCGTCCGAGGCCGCCGACGACTTGGGCATGCAGTACGCCAGATGGATCACGCACGCGGAGTACTTCTATACTGACACCATGAAGGTATCAGCTGACGAGCGGCACCGCTATATTGGCCGAGGCCTGGCCCGTGCTCCTGCACATATGAGGATCCGAGCACCTCGAGCAGGCACGGGGGCTTGCACTTCTAGTCGGGCCACGCGATGGTGGAGCACTATGGCAGCATGTACCCAGCTGCTGGCCAAGGCCATGGCCAGGATGGACGACGCGCTCTCCGAGGCTGGCGAGAATGCGGCGGACATCATCTACACGCATGCCCATGCTATGCCCGACGACAACCTTGTGCCTATCGACAATGCCACCAAGCTTAAGTGGCAGCATGGTCTATCAGCTGTGCGTGATTGGACCACTGGCCAGGCTGCCACCATGGCCTACGCACTGGGGATCCTGGCCGACAGATTTCAGCGCGCTGAAGTCCGACAAGGACTACAGGCGTTTCAGGAGTGGGTCGTCCAGTGCACGGCCAAGAAACCCAGCAAGGTCCTCAAGTGGAGCACCGACTCAGCGGGGCCGATCATGGAGTACGGGGTCGGGCCTGCTGCCTCCACCGACTTGTATAGCATCATGGATGGCAAACGAGGCGCATGGGCGCAGCGCTGGAGCGGCACGGTGAAGCTCTCCGATCTCCAGGCGTTCCGTCGCAAGTGCAAACGCCTTGCGGAACATGAGGACGCATGGAAGCCCATAGACCCCTACCTCATCCACGAGAAGGCCACCGTCCTGCCCAACGCCACGGGCCGTGGCAGCGACAACCTCGGGCCTCTGGACATTCGCAACTTGCCGTTTCAGGCGAAGCAGGACTTGGCCGACTTCTTCAACCAATGCGAGAGGCAGATGGCGTGGCCGTGGCAGCTCATGAGTGTACTGGTGGGCATGCTTCCGAAGCCAGACGGCTCGGAGAGGGGCGTTGCATTGATTCCATGGCTCATGCGCTTCTGGGCGCAGATGCGTAAGGTCATTGGGGCCGACTGGTGCGCTGCCAAGGCCGGGCACTGGGACCAGGCCATCAAGGGCAGCAGTGCCCTCCAGTGCGGCATCTT